ACAATATTGTGTCCTCTATTTCTTCCATGTATTTTAGAAGAGCTCTACCTTCTCAACAACCACAACATCAACACAGAGTAAGTCAACAGTGGGTTGCTCGTGCACAACCACTTCCCCACCCTTCGAAGTTTCCACCAGCACAAGGGTATTAGCTAGTCCAGGTCCCCCGTTATATCTTGATAACTCAAATCTACCACCACTTGTTGATATGTCACAGTTATATGTTCCCAGCGGGGTGTATTCGATGTCCGATTATAAGGATCTGTATACCAAGGCGACCAACTTTATTGAAGATAAATTCTATTTTTCTCAAGGAGCAGTGCATTTGCTGAGCAATATCACTCTTTACGAATCGGTATATAATATGCAAAAAAATACATTAGATACTTGGTTTTCAACTAACACCGTTCTTGTTCAGAAGCAATGCGAAAACCATAATCTCACCCAACACGCGGAGAAAATTCGCATTTTTCAAGGTATGTGATAAAAAGGAGAGAACAAATATTTTTTATTTTTTTCTTTTTAATTCAAATTTGACAAATTATGGCAGGATGATTTGGTACTCCAAATATAACATAATAGTTGTGTTAAGGCTCTCTGCATTGAATAATCAATAACTCCTTAGATTTCTTGTATATTTTATATCTACCTTACCATTTTGAATTGCCCATGTAAGGCATTAAAACTGCTTGCATTTACTTGGTGCTCATCATTTTATTATTATTATTATTATTTTTTTTTTTTGGGAGGGGGGGGGGGGTAGGACGGGGTCTTTTGGATTATTTCGGTTGTGAACCATGATACATGCATTTGTGGGACGAATTTGGATTTGAATTTGGGGTGGTCTACTCCTGATAGAATGGTATTTGTTCATATATATGTGTGTGTGTAGAGATATTACAAAAACTCTCTTAAAGATACATAAGCGTGGGTTTGTGACTCTAAAGGACTGGAGCACTACAGACATCTTCATTGTGTCCGATCAGGCAACACTTTCTTTGCCCATTATGCACATTAAAGCCCTAAGAGTTTATAATCCTAGTATGGGAAAGGATGATCATTTCCTGGTTGATTACAAGAGGTTTGTCAAAATCATCCAAAATATTTTTCATAACAACCCTATGCCGGATGAGATAAGTAGATTCATTACTTTGCTCGAGATACCAACTTTGAGTAAGATTTCTTCATTCTTTTTTTTTGTCAATTTTTTTTCCTTTCTTTATTTTTTCTTTCAAATAATTAGTAATTCTTTGAATTAATTTTCAGGAGAAATGATGATTTAATTTCTCAGCATAATGCTCTTTTAAGGCGTGGACACAGGCTGGAGATTATTTTCAAGTACCACCACGATTATCATTTCAAACTCAGTAGAAGATTAAATGTGAGTTGGCAAGCAAAAATTAAGCAAAAATTTTCTAATTGGTGGAATGAAGTTAAAGAAAAGTCTACTTATAAGAGGGCTTTATTTTATCCAAAAATACTCCTTCTTGGATTAAAGGCCTAATTTATGAGACTTCCATTAACCAACTACCAAAACAAAATATTGGCCTTATTGAATATCTCCGAAACAAGAACCTATATCGTAAAGATAAAAGATAAAATAAGAAGAAGAAGGGTTACACTGGAGATGTTAAATGAATGGATTAGTGCTAATTATCCTGGAGTACTCTCTATCATTCAAGATGTCTTCAGAAACAATAATGCCCTTGTTACCATAAAATTAGAAGAATATGTATGTTTTTTAGAAGTAAAAATGGCTGGCTAGCTGGCTCAAATGGTACCTTTATTTTTTATGTAACTGGCAATTATGTTAGTTTATAGTATTAAAAAACCAAAAGGAAACACCCGAAGGATTCTGATTTCCATTCCTTTAGGTGATCATATCATTGTTTATTATTGTGCTTAAATATATATATATATATATATATATATATATATATATATATATATATATTGCAAAGGTAAAATACTTTTGAGTAGGGGTACACAAAAACTCTTTTAATTAAATCAGTAAATCAAATTGGTACTATTTAGTTTGGTCTTAGTTTTAGTTCAATTATGACTTAGGATTTTACGGTACCAGATATTTGTAGACACTAAAATTTCATTGGTTTTTTTCTTTGACAAATTGACCAATCAAATATGGGTCTTATATTTAGTGCGCCTATTGCACTGTACAACGGGTGAACCGTTCATATAATACACACATCGCACGTGCACATTCGAACTATTCATGTAATACACATGTCGAGCGTGTATTACACACGTTGTTACTGAACAATTGGATGTGCAACCGGTATAAAGAAAATTTTCTTCATTCTTGCCCGAAATCCATATGTGGTCTACCTACGAAATGACTTTATTTTATCCAAAAATACTCATCTTTCTTGGATCAAAGGCCTAATTTGTGAGACTTCCATGAACCAACTACCAAAACAACATATTGGCCTCATTGAATATCTCCGAAACACGAGAGCCCATATCATAAAGATGAAGGGTTACACTGGAGATGTTAGATGAATGGATTAGTGCTAGTTATCACGGAGTACTCTTTATCATTCAAGATGTCTTCAGAAACAATGATGTCCTATGTACCGTAAAATTAGAAAAATATGTATATTTTTTAGAAACAAAAGTGACTGGCTAGCTAGCTCAAATGGTACCTTTATTTTTTACGTGGCTGGCAATTATGTAAGCTTATAATATTAAAAACCCAAAAGGAAACACCCGAAGGATTCTAATTTCCATTCGGGTGTTTCCTTTAGGTGAGCATATCATTGTTTGTTATTGTGCTTTTATATATATATATATATATATATATATATATATATATTAAGCAAATGTAAAATACTTTTAATTAGGGGTGCAAAAAAACACTTTTAATTGAATAAGTAAATCAAATTGGTACTATTTAGTTTAGTCTCAGTTTTGGTTCGATTATGACTTAGGATTTTATAGTACCAGATGTTTGTACACACTAAATTCTTGACAAATTGACCCATCAAATATGGGTATTATATTTAGTTAAATTACTACGTATTTAATTGGCCCAAACTTAGTCTACTTAAATTATTTAATTAGCCTAGCCCGGTTAGTTAAATAAAAAGATGATTATTCTCAATAAAAATATATTTGGGGATAATTATTTTAATGGATAATTATCACAATATAACGGGCCCGGCCTAGTTATAATTGTGTGTTTATCAAGAGATGACACGTGTCATTATCCTATTAATCCCCGAAGTCTATAAATAAAGGCATAGAGGAAGGAGAAAGTGGTAAGAAAGCCTAAAAGAATATTGTTACTACAAATGATGATTTGATTTATTAGCATAATGCCCTTTTGAGGCGTGGACACAGGCGGGAAATTATTTTCTTAATGGATGAAAATTAGCTCTCTTTAATGTTAAAATATACAATATATTAAAATCTAAATAAAAATAAGTTGAAAACAAAAGAGTGATTATAATTTCAAATGTACTGTATATATAGTTAAAAATTTTAAAAATATAAAATAAAATAAATTGAATTCAGGATCGTCAGGTTACGAACGCATTAATCTAACTTCAACACTAATTAAATTCAGTAAAAGTTTTTCAACTAAAATTCAACTATAATTGTAAAAATGTGTCACGGTGTGTGAAAAATCATATTGTTTTCAGTTGAGTTTTTGTTAGTCCATCTAAATTGCATTTCTAACTAGGTAGAAGGAAAACTAACTAACAATACATGTTACAAATGCTTTTTTTTTTTTTTGGCCTTCTAATTATTACTGACCAATTTGAAAGTATTCGAACTAACTTGGTTAAATTCAACTTTGATTTCTTATGAATTTAATAAAATAAAGGCAAAAGTGTCGAAAAAAAATCCTGAACTATTAGTATTACTATTACTAATAATATTAGTTATTATTATTATTATTATTATTATTATTGATATTGTTTATTATTATTAGGCAAAATTAAAAAAAATCTCATGAACTATTGGTTAGTTGCAATATAGCCCCTGAAGGTATTATGAGTATAGTACATTTATGATATTTTATAATTTTTTTAATAAATTAATAAGTGGGAGTATTTTGATAATTTTGACCATCTGGTGGTTGGAAAATGTGATCCAGTGACCGAGATGGTCCTTTTTGCAACTGTTTTTATAGTTGAGGGTTCAATTTGCTACCCAAGATAATTCAGAAAGGTATTTGCAATTTTGATAATAGTGTAGAAGTTTTTTTTTTGCACTTTTGCCTAGAGCATGTGCTACCTGTGTTTCAATTTAACTACTGTAATTTAATTGGTCCATTGTTTGGGGGTGAGTGTAGTGTTGCTATTTATAAATCCGTAGGTCTCACTTTAACACATCAATATGGTTCTAATTTAATCGGTTCTATATTAGTTAAAGGTTTAAGTTGCGAGTTGTCAATTTCTGTTTTTTTTTTTTTTAATTTGAAATTTTAGATAAATATATGATTCTTGTTAGAATTCATTTCATTTGAATTGTTTTTTTTTTTTGTTTTTTTTTTCTTTCTTTTAACATCTCGCAAACCATTTCAATTTGTTTCTATTAACATCTGGCAACCATTATCATGGATATTTTTCAGGCTAATTTATTATGTTCTAGTATGTTCTACGGAACGTATGCATTTTGATCATAGAACATTAATTCTACTCAAAAGGCGAGGATCTTTCCCAGGGGAAAAAAAAGTGTACTATTGTGAATGCAACCTCTCTTGTTTTTTATTTTTTATTTTTTTTTATTTATTACTATCAGGGCAACTTATTTTTATTTTTAACTATCAGCGCAACTATTCATTTCATTACCTTCCCTAAAAAAAATGACTTGTTCATTTCATTATTCATTAAAATAAGAAAAATAATTCTTACACCTAAAAAGTAAGTTGTTAAATTTATTTTTTAATTATACAATAAATAAGAAGGTCAAACCTTCCCTTCAAATGTATCACTGCCCGTAACGTAATGGGTTGTTGTTTATACGTTTTTTTTAAGTTGAGTATTACTAATTTTCCCTTTTTCGGGAAATTATGTCTTATTACTGATTTTCTATTTTGTGTAAAGAATTTTCTTCGCTGCCAAACAGAGCAGCAGCAAGAACACAGAGATGGCACTGTTCTTATCTATAGCAACTTCACCTTCAACAATGACTGGTCGGACCCTGAAGCTTTTTAACAACGGCATCATTGGAGCAAAGGCTTCATCTAATATGCCTCTGTTTTTAGGTGAGTTCACTTTTCCTCTCAATTTTCCTTCGTTTTACTGCACTTTCGAAAACCTTAATCAATTGAACAGAAAACAACACTTTTTTTCACAGGTCCGAGTAAGAAAAACAGCACCCAACACAGCAAAAAAAATACTTACATTTCTCTATCAGTAGAGGGTCGTCAATCAGCTGTACATTCAATACAAAAAGATCACGGAAAAACCCTAAGAAAAGGGGAGGGAAGATTAATCTTGAGTGAAGGAAGAGATGACGATGAGAGCTATGGGCCTATTTGCCCTGGCTGTGGAGTTTTTATGCAAGATAAGGACCCAAACCTTCCTGGGTACTATAAAGAAAGGAAGGCAGTGGAAGTGTCGGAGAGTGAGGATGGTATTGAAAGTTCATTGATTGATGATTTTGAAGAATTTGATGAAGAAGGGGAGGATTTTGTAGGTAGAATTGAGGGCAAATATAAGGAAAATATTGGGGAGGAAAGTAATATCGAAAATGAAGATGAAATTGGCTGGGACTCGGAAGAATGGGAATCGGAGTTTGAAGACGAAGATGACGATTTGAAGGAGTTGGATGGGTTTACTCCGGCCGGTGTTGGTTATGGTAACATTACCGAGGAGACTGTAGATAAGGGAAAGAGGAAGAGGGTGTCAAAAGCTGAGAGGAAGAGGATGGCTAGGGAGGCTCACAAAGAGAAAGAAGAGGTTACTGTTTGTGCCCGGTGTCATTCATTGAGGAATTACGGGCAGGTGAAGAATCATACAGCTGAGAACTTAATACCTGATTTTGATTTCGATAGATTGATTGCAACCCGGTTGATGAAGCCCACTGGGAATGCTGATGCTACTGTTGTGGTGATGGTTGTTGATTGCGTTGATTTTGATGGATCATTTCCAAAACGGGCTGTTAAGTCTTTGTTCAAGGCATTGGAAGGAAGCAAAGATGGCTCAAAGCTTAGTAAGAAGTTGCCCAAGCTTGTTCTTGTGGCTACAAAAGTTGATCTCCTTCCATCTCAAGTCTCCCCCACTAGGTTAGATAGATGGGTAAGACACCGTGCTAAGGCTGGAGGGGCACCTAAGTTAAGTGGGGTTTATTTGGTTAGTTCCCGTAAGGATTTGGGTGTGAGGAATTTGTTGTCATTCATTAAGGGGTTGGCTGGACCTCGAGGGAATGTGTGGGTTATTGGGGCTCAGAATGCGGGCAAGTCTACATTAATCAATGCATTTTCTAAAAAAGAAGGTGCAAAAATTACAAAGCTAACAGAGGCTGCAGTCCCTGGGACAACCCTTGGGATTTTGAGAATTGGAGGAATCTTGTCGGCAAAGGCAAAGATGTATGACACTCCAGGTCTCCTGCATCCTTATCTAATTTCCATGAGATTAAATAGGGATGAACAGAAAATGATTGAGATACGGAAGGAGTTGCGACCTCGAACTTACAGGATTAAGGCAAGTCTTTTGTTACTACCATTTGTAATTGGTGTTTTTTAAGCAGTTAAGTGCTAATGTAAGATTATTGAAAATCTATAATTACTGCTGATACGTTTGTTAATGAAAACTTATAATTAGTGCTGATAATTTCATTGATGTCCATTTGTTAGAAATCTATTGAATGGTATAAGCATAGCAGGTGAATATTCAACGTTCCAATTGAATTCAACCATCACATTTTTTTAACCTGATTTTGTAGGAAATTTGAACCTGAGGTCTACAATATTGAGTATTCACTGCAGTTTTTTGTTACAAGTATTTGTTTTCAATGATTTATTGAGCTTTTGTAATCATAGTTTTACCAAATTTGGAAGTCCGGTAAATAAGTCTGGTTAGCATGTTTGTTTTCCAGATCTGACATTTTTGACTTGTCAAGTTCAAACAGTCAGCAGGGGTCAATGGTCTCTATTCCTTTTCCCAGTAAATACAATGGTGTCTAAATTTTTTAACATGTTAGTTTGAATCTTGCACTTGCATGAAACATACTGGATTTTAACTTAATGCTAATGGGAGGAATACCATGGAAAACTTGTTTCAAGGAAAAAGAAAGGAAATTGCGTACAGTAGATAGTCGCAGTTGGAGTATGTGTTTTATAGTTCTCCCAAATGTTTCGTGTTTTATTATCTGCTATCTTTCTATTTTGGATTTTCTTTTTATGTTAAACAATTGCTTCAAAATGTTAGGCTATAGAGAAAATTTTGTATTCATATTTCACATGTGATGGATTCCTTCGCCCTTTATCTTCTCTAATTGTATTTCACATGGGATGGATTCCTTCATCCTTTATCTTCTCTCTTTCACTCCTTTACTGTATCAATATTGTGAATGCTCTTGTTTGCCAATGGCACAACATAGGTATCTTTAATATGTATTCAAGTTTGTCTTCCCATTGAAACAAAACCTGCTGTCAAACATAACACAGTGTGTTTGATTTTTGCAGCAAGGGCAGGCTGTTCATGTTGGTGGTTTGATGAGACTAGACCTTAATCATGCTTCTGTCGAAACAATTTATGTCACAATTTGGGCATCACTAAATGTTTCTCTACATCTGGGGAAGATTGAAAATGCTGATGAGATTTGGAGCAAGCATGCTGGTGCTAGGTTACAGGTAAAAATTCTGTTCCATTAGGATGCAGCATCTCTATCAAAAATCCAGATTTACACAAATAACATTATGATATATATGTTGATCTGTTTCTATTTAGCATATCAAGTACCATGTTGCATTCATTGGATACTATCTGCCTTTGAACTTATGGCACTCTTTTAAAAAATTCTATTTGGATATTTTAAACGTGTGTTTAAATGTGTAGTCTTGGTCTACGTACCTATTACCTATGTTCACCTATTTCCAACTTTTGGACTCTGATCCCTGTATCCTAAGATTTGGGATTCAATGCAGTCGAACACTTAGACATACACCTGCATGATACACTTATCCTGGTCCATGTAACAGAACATTGTTCTTAAATAATGAGAGAAGGAGGTTTTACAGCCTCCTAATAGAATTCACAGCATGTAAAAATTGGTGTTTAGTTTTTGTTTTTTTAAATGAAGTATGTTTGTTTTAACATTTGGAAAATCCATTTGATTTTTCATGCATAATAAAGTAAAAAAGGTCATATTTAGGGTTTAAGAAGTATCTTATAGTCATTCTTGGTGATATATATATTTTTTCTATGTCATTTCTTTATCTTTTTTATTTTAATTTTTTTTATTCCTTTGTTCCTCTTCTGATCTTTATTTTTCTACTTCCTGTTTCGGGTGTAAGGTCCCTGTGCTAGTGATGATTTATTGCATTTAAATTTACAAAAGGTGACATTGTCTGCACTTAATTTCTGAATGCTAATTAAATAGTTCGATGTGCATGACATGTTTTGACTTATTCTTCTTTCAGCCTCCCATCAGTGCAGACCGAGTTTCTGAAATGGGCAAATGGGAAGAGAAGAAAATCAAAGTGTCTGGAACAAGCTGGGATGTGAACAGCATTGACATTGCAGCAGCTGGCTTAGGTTGGATTTCTGTGGGTCTCAAAGGTGAGGCAACCCTGGCATTATGGACATATGATGGCATTGAGATAACTTTGCGAGAACCTTTGGTTCTTGATCGGGCACCAGTTCTTGAGAGACCTGGATTTTGGCTACCACAGGCTATATCAGATGCCATTGGCAGCCAAAGTAAGCTTGAAGCACAAAGAAGAGAAAAGCTTGAAGAGGAGAGTATGATACCCCTTTAGGAAGTATCTGCTTAAAAAGAAAAGAAGATGATGATCCATTTGTCCCTCCTTTTGTCACCAATATGATTGAGCTTGAAGCTGGAAGTAGCAGAGTAGTGAACAGAAAATTGATCTTGAAGAAATTTCCAGGGGCAAAAAAAAAGGGAAGAAGAAGAATCATCTTAAAGGGGTTTATCCGAAGGAAAGGCGATCAGTTTCTAAGGCCAACTTTTGTGGCAGGTCTTTTACCTTTATGTGTGCGTTTTCTAATGAGATAATTTGAATGTATACATCTCAGTTTCCAGAAAATTTAATGCCTAAAAAAAATTGAAAAGAAAAAGAACTCACAACTTCTCACGAGGGAGAATTGTAAAATTGAGTTTTAACCAGTATCATTTCTCCTGTGCTTCTTACATAGTACTTGAATTTTTTTGTATTACTTTGTGAATCTACAATAATGGGCACCCGAGATTTTGAATCTACTGGTCTACCGGGAAAGGTAAAGAAAACATAGTGTATCTTACATAAATATAAGGAAAAATGGAGGGAAACAGTTTTGTCCGATAAAGCGTCTATTTAGCAGCCCCCTTCATTTTTGGAGAATGATGAAAATATGCTGTCAGTAGCATCCTTTCCGTCTCTTATGCTGCAACAAACTACATTTGTGAAATGTGAAACTTACTATCAGGTAAATGTGAAACTTATGATCAGGTTGTATATTTGTGCGATAATTTTTCTGTTCATACAGGGAAAGTGAAACATTGGTTGGTTTCTGAAATCGGAGGTTAGCGTCTTTTTGTTTATGGGGAGGAGATTGATCTTTTTCTTAGTTTTCTCTATAATTCCTTCAAGTATTGGGGTCTTCTACTTGTTATTACTAAAGAATTGCTTTCAATGGTCACTAGCGAATTGCTTTCAATGGTCACTAGCATATTTTCTAGTTGCCAATTTAGGGTTTGACACATTATGTTGGTTTTTTTTTTCTTCATATTACTCGCACCAAAATTACAAGGGACAACTTTGTGCATAAAAAATAGTCTGGCACAATTGATACAACAATCCCCCAATCCCACCCAACAGCTAAGTAACCTACTTTTTAGAGGTTTCACTCTCGCTCAGGTTGAGTGAATTGGTACAGAACAGGGATCAACATCATTTAAATTACAAGGGACAACTTTGTGCATAAAAAAAAGCCTCGCACAATTGATACACCAATCCCCCATTCCAACTCCACAGCTGAGTAACCTACTTTTTAGAGGTTTCACTCTGGCTCAGGTTGAGTGAATTGGTTACAGTTCAGAACAGGGATCAACATCATTTAATTTATAGGCCATTCAGCAGTTCCAGTCTATTTGTATTCATCACCATTGCTTGCATTGATTAAAAAAGCTACTCAACAGTAGGTGCAACAGAGGGTTTTCATAGCTTCAAATTATTAGAAGAAGCAACTTTTAACAGCTTCAAGAATGAAACCAAACCTGTTAAGAAATGGAACTATTTTGGCAAGGGTTGAGAAAAGGAACTATCAAAGTTCTAAAGATCACAGGCCAACCCACTCTCTGCCTTCAGATATAGAACCTAAAACTGCAATTACTTTCTGTACTATGAATGCTTTTTAAAGATGGGCAAAAAGTATGCCAAAATGACTTCTTTTTCATTCAAATTCTACATCCTCTTTTTTTGTAATTTTCTAATTGTTCTCTAGTTCACTGAAACAGACGTCAGAATATGAACAAGGCTAGTTACAGCAGTTGCAACCTTGCACTGTACATATGTTACAGGAAACAAACACTACTTTGTTGAGGAGTTGGATAAACTGCAACTTAAACCAGGCAGCACTGGCACGCTGCTAACATTCAACGAGGCTGCTGGATGCGAATGGGACTGCATTTTGAGCTAACACACTTCGCTGGCTTGTCACAGTACTTTGGTGGTCCAGTTGGGGAATTCAGCCCTTTCTTCTTCCCAGAATTTGCCAAGCTCAGACTCTTCATCAGTGCTTCAGTATCCATAGCCAAACCTGTTTTCCAGATGCAAATTGAGTGAGGAATCAGTATGAGAATGATATTAATCATATTTTGTTCAAATAGAAATGAAATAACTCAATTCCAATTTCAACAATGTTAATATTATGACTACTAATACAAACTTTCAAATGCCAGCAATCATCAACATGATAAAACAAGTAACTTTGTGTTGAGATTCAGATACAATTATCCTACTTTAAAATGCTAAACTCCTAGACAAGTATTTCTCAATTTTGGCTCCAACAAACAAAACAAGTAATATATAATGCTAAGCAACCACTACCTAAAGAATTTGAAATGGTATTCATTGTTTAAATCCTGAAATCCCATGACTTCAACAAGTACGAGAAAATCATTTACATAATGACGGCACAAAAAGGAAAAGGTTCATCCTAATTGCTAGTAAATACAATAAAGTTGCGATCATATTCCAATTTGATTCCGCATCAATGCATTGTGGCATTTTAGAGAAACAGAGCGAGTTTCACCGTACCATGTTCAGGTATTCCCTTCACAACAGAGAAAGCAAACTCGTTTGCTTCTCCCATCTCAGAAGGATGAATGAATTCTTCAAACTGCGCTTCCATATTTGAGAAATCCTCATCAGCACCAAGATCAATTGTATCCGGCAGCAGTTCAGCGACATCACTACCATCAAAACCATCCACATCATTGCCATAAAAACCATCCTCTCCCTGGTTCTGGCTCAGCCAGTAGTCATGGAACCATGTTGAGGTGGTAACTAATTCCCACCATTCTGGTGAAAAATCCTCCACTTGGCGAACAGCAGCAGGAATAAAGAGAGGAGCGTTAGGGTTCAATGTAGACCTTCCTCCAGAAACTAATGCCATTGCACCTTCAAATCACGTCAGTCCACGTCCTTCTAATCCAAAATTAGATTAATACATATGTCAGCAACGAAAGACAACAATCGGGATCAAAGAAAGCTTTTAGCTCTGAGATTTATCAAGTAAGCTTTTAGCTCTGAGATTTATCAAGTTGTAACGAGGAATCAACCCAACTTGCTAGCCACTTTGTACTCTCGCAAACTCTGGATGCACACAATCGCCCACAATCCACATGCATCGTTTAAGATCAGGCCTCACCTTTGATGAGCCTTGAACCGGAGACCTAAGGCCAAGGGGAGTGCCCCCAAAGGCCTTACTAATCGATTTAACTGGTGCGGGCAATTTGTCCAAGTCTAAATAGCCTTGAGCACATGAATAAAGCCCAAACTATCAAATTAAGAAACTGAATACATATTTATTTCATCTGATGTCTCAAATTGTTAGTCAATCCCTAATGAATTGGCTTCTGGGGAAGGAAAAAAAAAAGGTGCAAATAATAGTGTCTTTGGCAAGTATTTAATAATAAAATTTTTTTTAACATTATCCATCAAGCAGAATAAAAAAATTGATAAACAAAGTATGATTAATGCCACGCTGATTAGGTACGATAAAATTTCAAATGACTGGTCAAACTTTGTAATTCATGCCTAGAGGACCAAAAAGAAAAACAAATTCAAGATCTCATACAACTCTCTACCAGGTACAAAAACTTTCTAAAATCCCAAATTCACACAGATCAAACCTAAGATCAGACATTGAGAACCAACACTTCCACCCAAAACTGAGGATTGCAATTCAGATCTCACAAACAAACACTGTACAAGTACTTGCACAAGCACAATGATCCTATTAAACTAAGTACATGATGTCATCTAAACAACAAACCAACCATTTTAATATGGACTACATAAAAATAAACAAGAGAAAAAACCTTGAACTCAAGGTATATTCAAACAAACAGTTGTTCGAAACATCAAAAGTTAAACCGAACATCAGATCTCATAAATTCAACATCATGCAGATATATTGCATAATATTCTACTTATATACTAGAAGATATCAGAGAAAGAATAATTCAAAATCGTACCCATAGAATACTAAACAGTTTCATTAATAATAAATATCAACAATTCATCGCTACACAGGATTTCAAAACCCTTAAAACAAATACATACCATTGATCAATCATTTCAACAACATAAAAATGAATATAACTACTTAAAATTCATCAGATCTGTGAATCAACACAGAGACAAACTACAGTTCTAAATTATAATCGATCTGAGAATGAATTTAGAGTACCTTGAATCCACGGATGAAAAATATCTAATCGTCTATAGATAATCCTTGTCAGACAAATGAGCGCAAGATACGAAGACTGAGCGTTTCAGCCGATATTTAAAGCCCCGGATGTCCGAACCTAGAAGCTTCGTTTACCGAACTTCAGGTTCGGAATAACCGAACCAGCTCATTGATTGTTTTGAAACGGCCCACGGTAAAGTTTGTGGGGGTCCACATTATCACCAAAAAGAAAAGAAGGAAAATGGTGGGGGCCACATGAATACAGGTGATCAACGGCAGAGAGAAGTGTTTGTTCATCGGACGGCTACTTTTGCTGCAACGTAATGATTTATTTGGTTTGAATTGTGGGGCCAGGTTAGGAACTGAATGCCCGATGATGCGGGCACTTTCACATGGCTTTGTTGGGGTCGGTTAGGATGAGATGAGATGGATGATAGGAAAGGAAAAAACTAATCAAATCATTCCTAACACCTCTTTACTCTATAATGTATAAACAAACAACAAAGAATTATCAATGAAATTGACCCTCTTGATATACACTCCATACATGGTGAACCTTCATTGGAAGGAGGATAATTATCATCATTATGTCACGTCCAAACTAAACATGTGGATATTAATTGCATGGACCATTTAGTAAATAATTGACTTAAAAGTTGACACAGAATGGTTTGGACACAGCTCTAAGAAAGCTGACTCACTGTACAAATCAAATAAAAACACATCTAATTTTCTGTCAGGTTTGCATGATTTGATCTTATCTCATCTAATTGTTACGTTTCTCGCGTGTTTTACATGATTTGATCTTATCTTATCACTCATCCAGTAACATATTAATAGTCAAACTTTCTATTTTTTTTTTAATAGTTGTTCTATTTTAAAATTAATATAATATTATTTTAAAATATTCCTAATTTACCCCTAAAAAGTAAAACAAATTAAAGTCACAATTTTTAAAATAGATGGACCAAGTAAATTTAAAAATCTATCAATTGTCAATGTAATAAAATATAATAGGAAAAAAAAAATGTAATAAATTTAATGTCTTAAAAAGTATAAATTTTAAAGCTGAACATCTATAATGGGTGAGAGGCAGTAATTTCTTTTCTTCCCCTCACTCATTAAATTGATTAAATACTAAAAATATTATATTTTAATAAAAAAGGATAAATTGTGGTGACTTTTGATATGTTGTTTTGGACAATTAAGTAGATCATTCAATATTTATTATTTTGATATTTTTTAAAATTTTGTGTATAATCAAAGACACTCTTAACATTTTCTTTTCGACAAATTTATTTATCAAATTTTGTAAAATAATAATTTTATCCTTTCCTTGTACTTCCTAGTCCCTATGTCTCACGAGAAGTATTCATTTTTGCAAACTAAATTTTTTAACAGTATAACTTTAATTAGTGGTAGGGAATGAGTTTTTAAATATGGTCCACCATAGGCTTTATTCTTTTATAACTTCTGGCAACAAGGGTCAAATAAGAATATTAAAAAATCAGTACATTTGATTTTGACCCGGGACAACCAAAAATAAAAAGATGAAAATTTTTTATGAGATTGAGAGAATATAAAATATACTCAGTAATATTCCCTCGGTCTCATGCTAGTTATCAATTTTTTTTTTTATTTTATATATCCTAAATTACCTGTCCTTTTTAAAAAGTCAAAGCAAATAAATTATATATTTCCTTCATTGTCCTTTATTTTTTTTAAAAAATTCAAACTTTGTAACCATATATATTTAAATTAGAAGGGACAAGTTGGTAATTTTAAAAGAGAACAATGGATTAAATACATATCCCTTTAAAAACTCAAATTTTTGTATATGGATCTTTAATGTGGGACGGATATTTATAATAGTGTTAACTTCAGTTACACCCCCTGAGGTATGTCCAATCTTCAATGTGACTCCTTTACGTTTGCAAAAATTCAGTCAGACTCCCTGAGGTATGTTCAATCTTCAATGTGACCCCTCTAAGTTTGCAAAAATTCAGTCATACCCCCTGTCAGACATTGTCGACTGACAAAAAATAATAAGTGAATGAAATGACTAAATTGCCCTTTTGTCGTTTTCCTCCATACACTTAACCAAACCAAAATTTGTATAACTTAAACCCAATTTTGTTTTATCTTGTAAACCAAACATCTTATAATCACAGTGGCCAAACACTTGAATCCATTTTACTTCGTTAACCCAAACTTAGGTTTTGCAATTTCATTTTGTCGACTAACCCTATATAGATAGGTAGAAAGAAGAGATAATAGAGACATATTTTGGTTGATACGTACACCGAATACGCTTGATCAAACAACATATCTGCCGATAGTTGAAGGTTCGAAGGGGAAACATTTGTTTGATTTGAAGCTGTTGAGAAAAAATTGCAATTTGGAGGTATGAATTTTGTCTTTCTAAAAATTGATTTTGGTTTTAGTTGACAGGGGGTTTCGGGTTTGTAAAAATGGGTTTTTTTTTTAGTGTTTCTTTGTTCGGTTGTTTTGGTTTTGGGGTTTAGGGTTTGTTAAATTTATATTTGTAATTTAGGATTTTGATTTGGGGGTTTAGGGTTAGTTTTTGAGTTTCTTTGTTGGGTTTGTTGAATTTGTTGAATTGTTCGATTGTCTATAAATTGTTTGTAAATTTAGGATCTTGATTTTTTTTCAATTTGTCTGTAAATTGTTCGATTTGGGGGTTTTATTTGAAAATGCATGAATTTTTTTAATTTATGTTAAAATGTCTGTAATTTGAAAATGTATGAATTTGTTCAATTTGTTTGTAATTTCTTTGTTTTAATTGGCCAGTACCTTATTTATGCCATTATTTATTTATTTATTTATTTTTTATATTTCTTGTTATTTGAACGATTGACAGTGATGAGAGATATTTATTATAATTTTTACGTGCACTACAAGTCAAAATGTAGAACTGTTAATCATGTAGACCAGTATGGTTTGTATGATTTCCTAGAAGACATAAGTAAAGCTGTTTTTGAGGATTATCCTGGGAGTTTGGGGTTTACCTATGCTATATACTGTGATGTTCCTGTTTCTTATTCTAAGATGGTGGTTGAGAATGAACCTGATTTATTAAACATGTTATACTTAAAAAAGAATTAATATTAATGTGTATATTGAGATAGAAGAAGCCGAACCCTTAAATATATCAACTGATATGGATGAACCTCGTTGTCCGAGAGCCTTTTCTATCTGTTCCCAAAAGTAGATTCCAACAAGGGCTGGGATCTAATGTGGTTGCACATACATGGTCGTAGCTTGTTGGGATCAGGGTATGGGTGAATGCGGGCGAGCACGCTTTGATATGGGTTGACCCAGATTGAAGCAAGTCATCCCACCAAAAAAAAAAAGTAAAAAAGAAAAGAAAAAGAAAGGTAAAAAAGAAAGACGGATACTATAATATTACTTTAACTCAGATTTATACAAAAAGCAATTTGATGGGTGTTTTTGTTCAATATTAAAAGATTAAGGAGGTTTTAAGCCCACTTTTTAAAATTGAAAGAGGGAAAGTGTTACTCAAAATATATTTTAGAAGTATTTTTTTCACTATATCCATATTAAATATGGCATTCCATTCAGTCACTTGCATTATAGGAGTAGCAAGATATATTCAGACGTATTCATTTCATCGTCAAAGAGCTATTCTGGATTCCCAGGTTGTGTTTTTTCCTCTATATGTTATCTTGAGAGAAGACAAATATTTCAGAATTCTACAATTGATATTTTTTCCTTATTTTCTCTCTAGCTAGTTTAATCCATGGTCATATGCTATGTTTGGAAGAACCTTTGTTGTGTTTTCAAATACAACATTATCGTATATCATCTCTTTTTGTGGTAACAAAATTAATTTACTTACTAATTTTTGGTAACCTAAATTAGAGACTTAAAGTGTGAATTCGAAATTTTTACATTTATACTCAAGCAATTTCAAATAATTTATAATGACATAAGATTAGTACCAAGGGCTTAGCTTAACTGATATATCTCTACCAAAGGGCATCGAGCCCATGATATAGTCTCCCTGTCCTTAAAGAGGGGTGGAGGGTTCGAGCCCAACGTAAGCAAAAAGTGTGAGAGTATACTTCTTGTCAAAAATTTTATAAAAAAATAAAATAATAATAATAATAATAATAAGATTAAAGTGCAAAATAAAAATCCTTCAACTATGAACGTTTTGCAAATAACCCCTGAAATTATAAGAAAACCCTTCGAATTATTAATTTGTTGCAATTGAGGATAATTCGGCTATTGGGTTGATCGAAAAAATCAAAAGACAATTGTACCCTTTACTAAAATTGCGTTGTGTTGGCACTTGTACATTTACTTGTATGATATGACAACTGTAATCTTAAAGACCAATTATAACTTGACACCTCACCCAACTCCCTTCTCCCACTCTCTCTCTCTACCACCCCCATCAGATCCATCAAACATTAATCCGGTCAAAACCCGTTTCCCATTGTCTCTCTACAAACATTGCCTCTTCCATATAGAGTATATGGAAGAGGCAATGTTTGTAGAGAGACAATGGGAAACGGGTTTTGACCGGATTAATGTTTGATGGATCTGATGGGGGTGGTAGAGAGAGAGAGTGGGAGAAGGGAGTATATATATATATAAGTGTGTATATATAGACACTCGCAAAGGATGCTGCCACACTAATATGTGTATATATAGACACTCACAAAGGATGCTGCCACACTAATATATATATATATAGAGAGAGACAATGGGAAACGGGTTTTGACCGGATTAATGTTTGATGGATCTGATGGGGGTGGTAGAGAGAGAGTGGGAGAAGGGAGTATATATATATATAAGTGTGTATATATAGACACTCGCAAAGGATGCTGCCACACTAATATGTGTATATATAGACACTCACAAAGGATGCTGCCACACTAATATATATATATATATATAGTCCCTTCTCCCACTCTCTCTCTCTATATATATATAGGCACACAGAGAAGAAGAGATGCTGATATATACATAGACACACAAAACAACCGGCAAAGTATGGCAATAGGCGCATATGTTGATCTATAATAATAGGATTGGGTTTCTGATGATCTATTCATATTTATTTCCTTTCCGACCATGTGATTTTGCTTTCATTACCAAGTTTGGAAGATTGGATGAATGTGCTGTTAGTTGGGTTATAGGTGTAAGACGAGAACAACATATTTGTGATTAAGACTTGACTCAAAAAATGTTGGTGATGGTTAATGGATCACAAAAGGAATGTGAGTTTTTTGATGTGATTTTTGGTGGAGAGGGTCAGAGGAAGGTGAGGAAGAACAGAGCCTCTTTGTATTATATGTGTAATATATATATATATATTACACATATAATACAAAAAGGCTCTGTTATATATATATATATAATGAGACAGAGAGGGATGCTAACCCAGAGAGATTGGATTTTTGCTTTTCTCATTTATTGTTTTTACTAAATATTATATCTTTCTTAATATCTAAATGCAATTTGATTTACAAGATACAACCATGGAAGGTTCCAAGTACAGAGTATCTGAATTGGAGATGGAAAGAGAAAAATGGGTTTAAAACGAGTTGACCCAGTTACCTTCAATCCCTAAATCGATTGCCTGAAAGCGCATTAACTTCAATTTGGGAGTTTTTGGTAGTGATTCTTGTGGGGTTATGGCAGAGGTCGTGGTGAGAGGATGGTGGCGGTGGTTAATTCGCCGGAATATAGCGTTGTTACTGGTGTTTGTGGAGCGGTCGCCGTAGTGACGATATGAGGCAGTGGTTGCGGGTGAAGATGGCAGTGGCGACGACCCAAGTTGTGGTGGTGGTTAATTCCCCGGAAGGATTTCATCTCTCTCTCATCTCCGTCTCTCGAATTAGGGTAATGGATTTGGAGAAGAAAAGGGCTTTTTGGTATTTTTGTATAACAAGAGTGAAATGGGCATTTAGAAAAAAAAGTGGCATGCATGCGCTAATGAGGGTCAAAATTTTTATGATGGTGGGAGTAAATTGCAACGAAGTATCATAGTTGAGGGGTTAATTGTATTTTTTTTTTTAATTTAAGGAGATTTATTATATCTCGGTCCATGGTATAGGGATTTTTTTTTTTTTTTTTTTTTTTTTTTTTTTTTTTTTTTTTTTTTTACACTTTATCCTAAATAATAATGATATCTCCACAGCCTAATAATGTAGCCTGCACTTGGGCGTCTGATCCAGGCCAAAGTTCTGGGCCGATCAGCTTACTGAATTTGTGGATTAAAGACTATGTTTTAAGCCATTGGAATGGATTCGGCCATATGCCCATCGAACCTACCAACACAACAAGCCCATAATAGTACGTAGGAGGGATAGGTAAACTCACACTGATTTCTTATTCACAGACGAAGGATTGCAATTCTGGAGAACAGATCATGTAAATCTCCCTCCAAATATGAAAAATTAATATGTTCAATTTTTACCTACGTCAAATTAAATTTGAATCAGATATTGATATCTCACATAACCCCATAATAATAAATGGTTGTGAGATCAATTCTATTCTCTCCATATATATTTTTTTGTATATCATAAAAACAATTATTTGAGCTTTACCATAAGCTACTTTCTGTAACTTACCACTCGTGCATGAAAATAATATATATATTTTAATTTTAAAAAAATTTAATATATTTTTCTTTACATAGGACAGGTGCAAAGTAAGGGTGTAAGTGTGTGAGTGTGTTTTGGGTTATATTATATATGTGTGTGGATTTTTTATATTTTTAAAAAAAACTTATTTTGAATTAATTCAATTCAAGTGTAACCCATCCTTCTATTATTATTAATTGGAATATGTTCAACTCAAGTGTAACCCACCCTTCTATTATTAAACTCACAATTAATTCAAAAAAATCAATTAATTCGAATTACCAATATTCCACATTGAAAATTAATATGATTATTAGTATTTTTTAGATTAAATTATTTCTAAACACAAAAAGTTTTAAAAACTCATTACAAACTTTTAATAAATTAATTATGTACTTTGTTAAGCTGTTAACACATAATAGATTAAAATTTAAATAAAAAAAGTTGAAAAGAAAAAAGTTGATCATAATTTTAAAATCATATATATATATATATATATATATATATATATATATATATATATATATATTAGAATTTAGATTCGGGTTATTAGCACATTAATTCAAACCTAATTGTAAAAAAAAAAGTTATCCACGTTGTTAACCTGAATTGCACCACTAATCAAGCGAATAAGGAGTCTTTCCATCCAAATCTCTCTCCTTTATAAACTTTATAGGCCTCAATTCAAATTCAGCCACTTCATCATTTTGTTAAATTCTATATTAAATTTTTTGTTACAACTAAAATTATAAATGATAAGATTAAATAAGATGAACCACAAGTGATCATCACATGCAACAAATAAAATTAAGGGTTAAAATTATAAAACTCTCTTTTATTTTCAAAAGCGTAAATAAAATTTTCACTAAAATTAAAAAATTATCGGAGCTAACAAAACTTATCATGTTGCCCTCAAACCTGTGACCATATAAGTTATGAAATGTTAAATTTGACCATGCTATTTAATATTAAATTGAAGTTATAAATATTATTTTAAAATTAAAAAAAAATGTGCCTTTATAATAATATTATTTAATGTTTGATGTGTCATAACTTATGACTAGCGATCATATATACCTAAATCACACTAAATCAAGGTTATATATATATCTCTTTCTCATAGTCTTCACCTTCCTTCAATGTGTATACAACCACTATACATAGATCTTCTCTCTCACGAGAATACCTTAGGAAACAAACATAGCTAGCTTATTGAAAAATAAAAAACCAACCTCAATGGCCCATATGGACGGCCATGGCAGAATCGACCTCTGTCTCACTCTCATTTCCAAGATTACAAAGGAAAGATGGCGACAAACACATTCTAACCATCAGAGTGCAAAAGTTAATTAATATATATATATATATATATATATATATATATATATATAGTTCACGAGAAGTGGTTAGATGGATAGATAGAACTCTTTCTATCATCCACCTGTGTATGAAGAGACAAATCGATGGTTTTTCTGTATCATGTCTCTTCTGTTGTGTTAGTTCAGTCTGTTGTTGGGCTTTACCTTTAAGGTCCCCCATGCAAATCCTAACAGGGACATGTGAGCGAGTGCACATGTGAGGGGCCTTCTATCATTTGTCATCTTTCGTCTTCATTCACATGGATGCAAGTAATTCAATTGAGGCATCTAATAATTTATACCAGCCCCTAGTTTTAACATTGAATGACCAATGCATCCTTAATTTCAGGACTTATACATTGTGCTAAATGTACTCCGAAAAAACTAAATTGAGTTTCAATTTTAAATCGAGTAATGTTATTTAGGGCTATTTGTTGGCAGATAGAAAAATTTAAGGGATGGAGTTCTTATCCATTAACTTGGCTTAAAAATGATTTTCTTTTTAAGTTTGGTCAAGAAGGTTGGTTAGGTTGGTCATTTACACCATGTCTGTGAGGATGCGTCCATTGCAAAATAGGGTGTCATTTCATTTTGGGAAAACAAAGGGCTTGGCAATGTTGGTATCTCACACTGTTCCATTAGTCGCACTATATTCTATTCACGACAAGCCATTTGCTTATATATATATACACCCATGACCTTCCTTCACAAGCACTCATTTTCACATACCTTTCTCTATCTCTGGTTGTTGCAGAGGTCTTTTGGTTGTTCTACTTCTCTCTTAGGACCTAGCAATGGCAAGACAATTGAGCATTGTGATTTTCTATCTTGTCACGATAGCACTTCTTTTGCCAGTAGAGAACCATGTAAGTAACAATTTATACCTTTCTTGCTTTTACTTCAACCAGTCCATATTCACTATTGTTGATTTTTCCAGGCCACAGTCACAGAGTCTCCAACTCCACAGCCACAACCAACAACCAACATTCCAACGGTGAGATTATTATTAGGGGCACCATCCTATTTATATATATATATATGTCCTATACATATATATATCTCAATTTCAATCCCTTCTAATCTTTCCCCAAATGCTAATTCTTTCTTGGATTTTTCAGTACGGTATCACTCCAGGCAGTCTTCAACCTCAAGGTAAGAGGCTAAGGGCAGCTTGCATGTTGGTTTTAATTTTTAAATTTTTACACATGGCACAATATATAATGTATATATCACAAAAATGTCAATATAACAAATTTGTTATGAAAAATACAGAAATGGCCTGCAATAATGTGACATAACCGCAAAGTCTAATTTCTCACATTCAACAGACCAAAATTTATTTATGTTCCATTTGGTAGCACTGTGCGTAATTGGTATTGAAGAAAATTCGGTTTAAAATTTTCTTTAATTCTAAATCTAAAATGTTGATTCGATGCTTCCAAATATAGCATTAATCAAAACGGTTTCAGCATCTTAAAAATTGTGCTGAAGGTTTTAGTTTCCATTTTCAGAGTGCGCACCGCGCTGCACGGTGAGATGCTCAAAGACAGCTTACAAGAAGCCATGCATGTTCTTCTGCCAAAAGTGTTGTGCAAAGTGCCTGTGTGTGCCTCCAGGAACTTACGGAAACAAGCAATTCTGCCCATGCTACAATAACTGGAAGACTAAGAGAGGAGGACCCAAGTGCCCTTGAATTTCTTATACACTGCTTAAGTCTGCCAGCTTGGCCGTCTACATTCATTATTCTCAGCTTGTGCTATGTATTTGTACTTTTTTGGTATTACTAAAGCTTTGTTATTTGATTAAAATGCATTTACGACAACCCAACTAGGCTTACAGTTTATTCACCGTACTCAATGTGACGCTACATTTTGAGTATGAATTAACAATTGATGCGACTTGAGCGTGTGTACAAAATAATGTACAACACTTTAGGTTTAGAATTAATGTTAAGTAGGCATTATATTTTATAATTTATAAACCGCTAGACACTTATACTATGTAGTATGAAGCGAGAAGGGATCGAACCCAAGAGATTGAACACGTATTGGGATTAAACTTGATTTTAGTGCTAATGAGATTGCACAAGAGAGAGAAAGAGATAGAGAGAGAGAAAAAGATTTTTGGTGAAGTGATTAAACTAGAGTTAAATTGAAAGCATGGAAATAGAAAGGACAATACAAGTAAATTAAATTAAATTAAACTAAGAATTAAAGAGATATGAAGAGAGTCTTAAGGTTATGATTCACCACTAAGCCCATGCAATTAACCATATGTTTTCAATTAATGGGGAATTCATTAGTGTAATTATAGATGTGGTCACATTATCATCACAAATCACAATTGTAAGTATAGATTATCAACATCAAGAATAAATTGTCTATCTAATGACAATTAAACTAAAGTGTAAAACACATTCAAGATTACGTCATAACCCACCATACACATTCACAAATGTATCCGATAATAACACACATCAATCAAGAGGATAATACCAATTGTAATTAGAAGTATGGATTAACATAATCAAGCACAAATTGCCTACTTTACTGCAATTACCTAATGACAATAAGCTAATTTGTAGAACAACCCATCAAGATTAAGCCTTTATCCATCAAATTAATTGACAATTGTATCAACTAAGTCTCATGCTATGGCCATCACTAAACACAACTAAAAGAAGTATCTAGTGTAGAGTATAATTCTAAATCAATCACACATAGACATGCAATTTTCATATAGAATCAATTGAAGAATTAATTTTCAATCATCTAATGAAGAATAAAATCCCTAATTAATCATATATAGACATACAATCAACTTGGAGATTTCAATGAAAGAATTAATCAATACAAGCCCTAATTTGTCAAATTAAGCATGTATATATAAATAAATCACAAGGCCAAATATTTAATTACAACTTAATAATTCCCCAAGAAAAGAAAAACAAAGGTTTAGTTTACATGAACTTAGGGCTCATCCAAGCCCTAAGTGAAGAACTAGCTCATGGAGAAGATGATCATGGTGTCAACAAGTTCCATCTCCATCTTTTGGCTCCTTCTTCTTCTTCCTTCAATTGTAGACAAAACCTCTGTAAAATATTCTTCAAACCCTAGCTTTTCCTTTTTCCCCAGAGACAACGTAATATCACGGTCAGAAAATAATAAAACTTAATTATCCTAATAATATTCACCTAAATAAAATAAATACTAACCCTAATCTAATGGCTCACTGGGCCTTAAGTAATAACTCTATTAAAGCCCAATAGTTTACAAAATAAGCCCAAACAATAAAAAAAATCTGTAATGTTGCCAAGTCCTGGGGGATCGATCCCCCCAGAGTTGGAAATTTCCTTTAAGCCTTATTTAGCTCCATTTTGGCCCCGGGTTAATTGGTTTGCTTCTTTATCTTTGGGAACATCATCAAAGGCCCGAAATTGACCGCTTTCGAAGAATAAACACACTATACGAGCAATGGGCTACGACCTCTTTTTGTCATTTTCTGAACTTTTTCTGAATATCTTTCCTTGACTCTAAAAAGGCTTTAATGGACCGTTCGTAACTCATTTTAACTTTATTACCCTGAAATACACATAAACATAAATTAGGACTAAAACATGAAATTAAGATAGATGCAAAAACTGAAATACCCTAACTTAGGTGCTAAAATGTGCAACATTTAAGCACTTATCAACAATAAATCAAGATATTTAGACCGACTAGTTAGAGCTATTTATTAAAGTGAAACAATTATGACAGATTTCACTTCAGAGATTAATGATCATAATTGTTTCATTTTGTCTGGCTGGTTAGCAATATTTATTTGAGAATTGGTAGTCTCCTTGCAATTAATGGGATAATTTTAGTTAAAAATTATTTGACATTTGTTTTACAAATTAGTTTATAAAATTGGTTCATATATTTCCCACCAAGATCAAATTTATGAAAATGGTCATATTTGCCTAGGACTCACCAAGGTCCATGGCCTGGGCTAACTGAGGCTTCCCCAAGTTCTATGGTTCCCTGGCCCAGTCCATGAAAATGGTTGGGCATGGGTATTGCCCGTATTGGCCTCAGTGGTTCAGTTGAAACTAGGGCTGCAAGTTGGGCGGGTTAGCCCAGCCCAGCCCAACCCCAACCCAAAAATTTTAAAATTTGGACACGCAATTTACAAATCGGGTCCATACTCGGGTTGGGTTTTGTCAAAACCCAGACAATTCGGGTTGGGCTCGGGCTCAACCCGAACCCAACCCAAAATCCAAAATTAATTTTTTTTTTTTTTTTTCTCTTTTCTCTCTCCTCACCTAATTTTTTTTTTCTCTCTCCTCTCTTTTCTTTCTCTTTCTTTTTTCTTCTTTCTGCCCGAATTTTTTTTTTTTTTTCTCTCTCCTCTCTCTTCTTTCCCTTTCTTCTTTCTTCTTTCTGCCCGAATTTTTTTTTTTTTTTTTTCTCTCTCTCCTCTCTCTTCTTTCTCTTTCTCTTTCTCTTTCTTCTTTCTTCTTTCTCTTTCTCTCTCTGCCCGGAATTTTTTTTTTTTTTTTTCTCTTTTCTCTTTTCTTTTCTCTTCTTTCTCTTTCTCTTTCTCTTTTTCTCTCTCTCTGCCGTCGTCCTCAGCCGATCCACCGCCGCCGCCGCCATCACTTCCAAAAATAAAAACAAAACCCACACATACAAGTTAGCAGTTGCAGAGAGAGAGGGGGGCAAGCTTGAGACGGCTGAAGCTTGCGAACGGCAAGAACTGGAACAGCCGACGATGGAACCTGAAACATATGGGTTTTGATTTTTTGAACAATCTGAAATGATCTGAAATATATGGATTTTGAACTTTTGATTCTTGCAGACAGATCTGAAATATATGGATTTTGAACTTCTGATTCTTGTAGATTTTGTAGTTTGAAGTTGCAAAGAGAGAGAGAGAGAGTTGAGAATGAGACAGGGGAGGCTGAAATGATTTGCCCTAATTTTTTTTTGTTTTTTAATTATATATATATATATATATATATATATCTATATAATATATATATTTTCCAAAAAAAAAAATATAAATAATTTTTAAAAAGTCAACCTGTCAACCTGACCTGACCGGCCCAAAAATATTCGGGCTGGGTTTTTACTATAACCCATGTTAAGTATAATTTGGGTTGGCCCAACCCAATTCGATTCGGGTTGATGTTGGGTTGAGACTGGGCTGGGTTGAACCCGCCCAACTTGCAGCCCTAGTTGAAACCCAATTTAAGCCTCATTTAAAGGCCTATTTGCTCGACCCATTTGATCCGGTTGCAGGCCTGCAGCCAATCAGCTAAGCCCATGAATTTAAAAAAAAAAAAAACAAAACAATAATATAATGCTAAAATATCGAACAGCCATTTTTTAAAGAAATTATAAAAAAAACATAACAAGAATATAATGCTAAAAAAAAAAAAAACAAAACATGAATTTTCCAACAGCCATTTTTTAAAGAAATTGTTTGTTTGTTTGTTTTTTTTTTTTTTTTCACAAAATTTTAAAAATGTTCTCTCACTCATAAATCTATTAAAAAAAAAAAAAAATTGGAGGGCCCAATCGCTTATTTTGCTCCAGGAATCCTCCTCTCTTCCTTTTACTTCAAGTTTTAATTACTCTCAATTTTTAATGCTAAAATATCACTGTCAGAATTTGCTTCTCAATTTTAGTAGAACTGATGGAATACTAAAAAACTAAATATCGCTTTAAATTAAAAAGTTTTCAAACCTTTCTTGATTAATTTAAAAATAATGTGGTGTTGACAACATGTGACGTTGCACTTATACAAGTTGCAATTAAGACGCTATTTGTTGCCCAAATTATATCATTTAACATTAACTTGTCAACATAACGACGTGGAATCATTTTTAAACATAATTACATATAATAGATGTTATTTCTCAATATTTCTTTTTCAGCATGTATTTGGGTAAATTGCATTCATACTTTCTTAAGTTTGGGTTAAAGGCAACCATCTAAAACTTAAGTGCTTTTTGAATAATGACATTCCAAAATTTAATAAACTGAACAAAGACACATCCAATTATGATAAAAGTACATCTTACCATTTGACTAGTGAATTAACTATGTTAATTATTAAATTATCTTTATAACTTCCTTTTAAATAACTAAAATGACCCATATAAATGTATACAATCTTAATCACTTACCCACAATGCCTCCACCTCTTAGCACCAATAACTCTTCGGCTTTGTTTGCATACATATGAGAGAAAATAAAAGAAATAATAACATTAGTTATGAGATAAAAAAAAAAAGAGAAGAAATGATAGCAATAATCTCTATTTATGTTTGAATAGATAGAAGAGAAAAGAAATGAAATGATATTATTTTTATTTGGATATGATAGATGGGAGAAAAGAAGATAAATGATAACAACCAAATTACTTTCATATCCTTTTAAATAGAAGCGATACAAGTGGAATAATAATTTTCTCTCTTTAATTGTCGAGGACACTTTCGGAATTATGAAAATACTACTTAAACATTATCATTTCTTTCCTTATCTTATCATTTTTGGAGAGATAGGAAATGAGTGATAAGGAGGGACTATCATTTCTTTTCTCTCATTTTAAACCACCAAAACACATTTAAGCTCCATCATTTTATTTCATTTCTTTTCCTATCCCTCCAAATCATCCCATCCAAACGCACTCTTCATTCGTCGTTTCCATCTCTTTGAGATGTACACACACACACAAGTACACACTACAAATATTTGCACACATAAACCCAACTCCTCAAAATCCAAACATTGCAAGAACTTAATCAGAGGCCTCACGGGGA